AGCTCAACGACAAAAGACAGAGCTGCCCGTTGCCGCATGGCAGTTGGGCACACACAGTATGGCTATCTTGGAAGGGCTGTGCAATGACAGAGCCTTGGACCCCTCTATGTCTGAACCCCGATATGGGAGGAGGATGGTACCCGCCAAAAGCAGAGAGGCCTAGCTCAGTGGGTGCACCATTGAACTGTTGAAATGCAGACCCGTGTTCGAACCCAGTTGGTGGAACTTGATGAGTAAAACCAAATATTTCAGAGGGATGAGTGTTGAGCTGAGCTGCAACCGCTAGACTGGAGCATTTGTCCTAAAAAAAAAAAAAAAAAAAAAAAAAAGAGAGCTAAGCTGCAACGGCTGCAATTGGCCGTTTGAGTCAACAAGGCACCTCTGGAGTTGGTGGAAACATGATTGGGAGGAGATGGGAGGAGGAGGAGTGGAGTGGAATGAAGAATGGGTGATTCTGGGCTTCCTTCCAGCAAATTTGGGGCGAGGTCCTGTTGATCTTTGCTATCTGCGGTCGTGTAAGTGGGACCTGGCCCCTGGCGGGCGGAAAAAGGCAAGAAGGGCTGGGGGTACATAGCCCATGTGGCAAGGGGAATCATCTGTGAAATTATCTAGGTGGACAGGAACAGAACGAGATTTGAGAAGAAAACACTCTCAGATAATGAAAGCAAGAGGATCAAGATGGGGTTGAAACAAGCCATCAATGTCTATTGGAGGAGAAAAGTGAAGACAGGGGAGGGCAACAGAGCCCAAAGGAGATGGTTCCAGAGACCCTGGGCCAGGAGTGATCAGCTGGTCACAGTGAACACAACGGGAGAGCAACGCCGGGTCATTATAGCTGCATTTGGCCCAACTTTCAGTCCAGATGCAGCGATAAAGACCCCGCGTTCTATTCGGGTAAAGACAGTCGCATTCCCTGCTTGGATTCTGGACGGATGAGTAATGCTAAACAGATTAGGAGGATAGGTTAATGTAAGCCTAGTAACTGTATGTCACGCTATAAGCGACGACAAAATTGATGGCATAATACGATCCCAATGCACAACAGTACACACACGAAGAGCGAAAAGAGGGAGAGGAGAAGAAGAAGAATGAGTAGAAGGAGAGGTAGAGGAAGAAGTAGAAGCACACCAAGAGTAGATAGGTGTCCCGAACACGACTAAATTGCGAAAAAATAATCATGAAGCACGATGGTCGGAAACAAAGTCCTCGACAGGCGTACGACCCGACCGGTTTTAGCCTGGCCTCCAACCAGGACTCTTCAGGGGTCTAAAGTCGCTTGGTGGACACTAGTCTAATAGGACTATATATACTAAGAAAGCCACCTGAAGACAGGACGTCATCAACGCTTAAACCAGTCCATGCAACTCAGCCGCAAATAGAACCCAGACTCCAACGACAGTTCGAAACCCTCAAAAGCGAATGAAAAAAAGAAAGAAAGAGAAAGAAAAACCAACCAAACCTACCACTATCGAATCGAAAGTTCCAACTCTCAATCACTGTTTCTCCCATACGCGGTTAGAACCGACCCAGGTTCGAATACCCATCCACACAGGACCAAATGTTCCAAAACACTCACCAACCTAACTACCAGAAGAACACAGAAAAATTCATAGGCAAAGTCACAGGTACTGAGTTCAAGCCCAAGTTACAATCAAAGAACGAACCAGAAACTACCTCCAAATACCAAGTTCGACTCACAGTTCCTTCGTCAAGTACACCTTGAGGCATCGAGAATGCAAAAAAGTAAAAAACCCCGGACCCTTATCCACGGAAGTCTGCAAAAAAAGACAAGAAACATCATAGAAAAAATGACCCCCTACAACCGAGAGTCCTCGAAGAACTTCACTTCTTTCAACACACGACCCCACCCGGTTAGAAAGGGCAACCAGTCGCCCCACAAACCGCCGAATCTCCTTGAGAAATGAGTTACAGCAGAATCAAAGAACACATCAGGACACCCCCTCCTCCATAGTTCACATTTTAAGGACAGCAGAAAGGGAAACACCATACCCTCGACAGTCGAATATGCCTTTGCACGATGCAGGAAGGAGTTAATAACCGCCAGCTTCTGCTGACGGCTTGTGAACGACACGAAGTCTTGAATACATTGAATTTTCAACCTTCCATTGACGTCTTTCCTCTGGTTCTTCATTAACGGAAAGCAAAGGACCCCTTTCCTCCCTTCAAACACTTTAGGGACACACCCAAGGAAATCCCAACAGTTACCGTTATTGGTTTGTTCCAAAACCAAGTTGTCGTTGTAACAATGCTTAAATGATTCAATAAGCCGCAATCCTTTCAAATACGAAAACCTGTCATCGCTCTTGCACATAATAAATACAGAGACATCGTCAACTAACCTGAATCCTCGGAACAGTCTTCGGTCAGCCCCCAGACCGGTTAAAAACAAAAACTCGTTATAGGCACATAGTAAACACGCTAACGCCGAACTTGACGCCTTCATGGGAATCCCAATCGTTTGACGCAGCAAACAACCCGAAGCACGAACATAGGTATGATCGAGCTCAACGGAAATGAAACTCAGCACAGTCTGCAAGGAGACACACCTCCACCCCATCTCAGCCCTTCCTGTCAACAACTTCGCACCTTTCCCTTGCTTACGCACCCCGACAACAACCACGTTCTTCTCTCGCCAAAAGTCAACTACCCACGCCAGTGCCCAGAGAATAGAGTCATGAGGCGAGTTAGAGAACATCTCCTTGATATCAAAGGAGGCCCCCAAAATCATATCTTGGTTAGTCAGTCCCCGGTTAGCAGCCTTGATTCTGGTAAGCAATTCGTCAGCACTGTGAAGGTTGAGGTTACTATCACGAGGAAGATTCCATAACAGAGCGTTGACCACACGGGACACAATCCTTCCACCTGTTGCAGAACACTCGGGGAGGATGGACAAATTGGCCGCCATCTTGAAACGTCTTTGTGCTTTGGCAAACAGTATGCTTCCCCCAACTTACCTTTCTTCTTCCATGGGGCAACAATCGATAGCCCTTTCGACGTATACGTCTGCTCACAATCACGAAGCAATTCCCCTTCATCATCTGTACACACCTGCAAAGCAGGATTACCAAAAAACAGCTTCTTCATTCCTTTCCGATAATGAACAGGGCAGCAGACATAAGTGTCTCCCATATTATGATCAAGGGGATTACATACCATGCCCCGTAGGACAAATCTGAAGGAGGTGACATCATCTTCGCAAATGATCTGATCAGAAGCATCATCCCGGTCATTGCTAACTAAACAATTTTTTACAAGACCAGACAAACCGCACTCAGAGTCAGGAGTGGGCAATGAAGGATGAGACTCACAGGAGGAAACAATCTGCGATCGTATACTCGCTACCAACCGAGTCTTAGAAGGTCGAACCAAATTCTTCAAATTATGAAACCACAAAGGGAATACCGACGGCAAATCGTTGACACGACATGACACATGTCCATCGACCAGCGGAAGAGAACTATCCGCATGAGTACAAGAACAGGCAGCGAGACTGGACTTAGCAAAACCCCGAAAGTTGTGGATAATATCACCAACGCTTTTATTTCGACACCACACGACGCGCATGCGTCGTACCACCATCCCTTTCAAGCTCTGTGGAACATTGAGACTAGCAACAATATTAGCACACAGTCTTCGAACCCCCGATTTACAAATACGATCATCGTATACAATTCGCACAATCAGCCGCTTCCGCACATGAACCCCAAATCTTGCCAACAAATGATGAGAAAGAAGACAACGCAGCCGAAATCTAGTTAGCTTCTCACTGAACATACGTACCACAGTGTAAGAAGCAATCAGAACATCAAAATCCCAAAGCTTGAGCTCCAACCGTTTAGAAGGATTACTAAGGAAGGAGGCTAACGGACCTTTTAAGGCAAGCGAACGGCTCAAAAAAGAAATAATAGGATCGATCAGAATAGTCACACCGCCTTTCAACCATTCACGAGCATACCTCAACTCTTTCTTCCCAAAGCAGCAATCCACAAGGCTACCCCCGTACAACCGTTTCAGTACCTTCCACCGGTCAACCAGCCGATCACCCCCACCGCATCTCAACAAAACTCGATGCACTCCCTAGTTCTTACACTTCTCAAGAGTGCTGTTACAACCTCTACAACACCCTGAACTATCTTTAAAAAAAAAAAAAAAAGAGGGAGGATAGGTTGTCTTAGGTGGCCCGGTACGAGGGCACTCGGTGGGGTCTACCTTTAGTTAGTAAGAGTGCCCCACACACACACGTACCAGGTACACTCGGTTCTGTAGGGACGCGGTGGTCCCCCAAATTTATGACAGCGGGGGTAGTGGTGGTTTAAGAGGGTGTTGGTAGGTTCCGGACCAGATCTTGGTCCTTTGCGCCCTGATCGTATAGTCCCTGACTTAGCAGAGTGTAGATAGCTTAGTTGGGGGAAAGTAGGTACTAGCAACTGCTCCTCACTGGCTTCGGGTCAAAGTTCTTTTTTTTTTTTTTTTTTTTTTTTTTTTGTGAAATATCTGTGGCAACCTGCTATTCAAAGTTTTAATACTTCAACCAAATAGGAAAGCAGGTTCAATCTTGCTCTACTATAACTTAAACCTTGGATAAATCTACCAGCTGGTGTTGTAAGCTGGCTACCGGTAGTCAGTACAGTAATGGGGCTCGCAGGCAATCATAGATCAGTTCAAGATCTGAATTAGATGATGGGAACTCGGTAGTGTTGGGTTCCGCAGGCAAATGCCTATAAGCTAAGTTGGCTGATGCTGTCAGATACCCCCGGGTTGAATTGTGAGGTCTTCGGCCTCTTCTTGTTGATATAAGTAATTGCATTTTTCCCAAAAAATAAATAAATAATAATAATAATAATTATAAAAAAAAATTGCCTGAGGCCGGTGAGCTCAATGATGATGTCTCAAGACCGTAGCCCTTTTTTTTAAAAAAAAAAAACAAAAAAAAAAGGAGAGGCTGGGAATCCTCAACAAACAACCCAGAAAGAGCGGAA